GGCACTGGGGTTGTGCAGCCAGGAGAAGAGGAGATTCTGGGGGTGACCTTAGAACTGTCTCCAATAGTTGAAGGCAACCTACAGAAAGGCTGTAGAGGAACTTGTCACAGGTGTCCAGGGACAGGAGAAGGGGAAACGGTCTTAAACTGGAGGAGAGTACGTTTAGACTCGATCCTAGGATCTTCAGAACGAGGGTAGCAAGACTCTGGACTAGATTGCCCAGAGAGGTTGTGGGCACCTCCCTGGAGGTGTTTAAGGCCAGGTTGGATGAGGCAACCTGGTCTAGCTGAGAGGTGGTATCTCTAGAGATCACCTCTAGATGATCATCTGGACTAGATGATCTCTTAGGGTCCCTTCCAACCTGAAGCTATTCTATGATTTTAGAATTCTTTGCAGCCAGTTGTTGCTGACATCTCCTGGCAGCTGCTTCAGGGTTCCCGTCAGCACCCTGCCCCTGCCCTGAACCAGCCCAGCCCCACGGCCTATCCATGGTCCCACGGCCCCACTGTGAAGGCACAGTGTGGGAAAGAGCAGAGACAGGGTGGGGAAAGTTTTGATCCTGAAGACAGATCTCAGTTCAGTGTTCCCCCATCACCCTCCTGCTTTGGTAGCCTCCCCCAGCACCTGAACCCTGGCCATGTCCCACCAGGGTTTTCACAGCCAGGTCTGCTCCAGGCTGGGCCAGGGCCTGGGCCAGGAGCGAGGCCGGTCAGGGCTGGCTGTCCCCCTGATACAGACCTAGTGCCCAGTGGGAGGATGGAGGTGGCCTTCCATTGAAAATCCCCTGTAAACTTGGGCTGAGCTCTTAGTGCTGTAAATGGCCAGTGAGAGATTCTGGGGGGGACGAAGGCCTTGAGCCACCTTCTTAGTGTATTCACACCATCAAGGCTGAAGACAGGCCTCCACTTCTGCCTCCACCTGCATGTCTTTGATGCTTTCCACAAGCGATAGCTCTGCACCAGTAACACCTGATGTGAGCCACATATTATATGATATATGCTGATATTTTTCCCTCCTGGGAAGCATCCAGCCAAGCCCAGATCCCCCCAAGCTCTTTGGATCACCCCCACCCTCCTTACAACTCCCCTGGCCTCTCCCCATCAGAGCCCAGTCTGGGCTGGCCCCAGAGAAGTGCACACCATGAGGTGCTGCAGAGGTCTGGGCATAAACCCCACAGCCCTAGACCCTCTGAAGGACACAACAGGTCATGGAGGGAGGAGAGAGGTGAGCCCCAGAAGATGGTGGCAACCATAGCACAAAGCATGAGGAGATGCCCTGCTGTGCTGGCAATGCTGCTATGGAGGCAGCTGTATCCCAGATGTGTCCATGGCCTGGCGCGGCCT